CGTTTCCTCCTGGTACCCAGTGGAGCCTCCGCCGGCCAGTCTACGGTCTCCGCCAGGCGCCACGTGAGTGGCACGACACACTGAGGACTACACTTGCGGCTCTTGGGTTCGCGCCGTCTACTGCTGACCCGTCGCTGTTTCTGCGCACAGACACGTCGCTGCCGCCGTTCTACATCCTTGTGTACGTCGACGACTTGGTCTTTGCTACTGCTGACACTGAGGCACTCGCTCGTTTGAAGTCGGAGCTGCAGAAGAGACACACCTGCACTGACCTGGGTGAACTGCGTAGCTACCTTGGCTTGCAGATCACCCGGGACAGAGCTCGCCGCACCATCACCCTGACTCAGTCACACATGGTGCAGCAGGTCCTTCAGCGCTTCGGCTTCCAGTTCTCCTCACCACAGGCCACACCTCTGGCTACCAGCCACTCGCTCTCAGCTCCACCTTCGGACGAGTCCGTAGAGCCGAGTGGCCCGTACCCAGAGCTTGTAGGCTGCCTCATGTACCTGATGACTTGCACGCGACCTGACCTCGCGTACCCTCTTAGCATCCTTGCTCGTTACGTTGCACCTGGGAGACACAGGCGAGAGCACTGGGAGGCTGCTAAGAGGGTGCTGCGTTACTTGTGCAGTACATCAGGCATGGGGCTGGTGCTTGGAGGACACGACAGAGTTGTCCTCACTGGTCACTCGGACGCTTCTTGGGTGGACGACCTGGCTACGCAGCGGTCGTCTCAGGGTTACACCTTCAGCCTTGGCTCTGGTTCTGTCTCGTGGCGGTCCACCCGCTCTTCCTCTGTTCTCGGCTCTAGTTGTGAGGCTGAGATCTACGCCACAGCCATGGCTGCACAGGAGTTACGCTGGCTCACCTACCTGCTGACTGACTTGGGAGAGCGGCCTAGTTCTCCTCCAGTTCTGTACGGTGACAACAAGGCGGCTCTTGCCTTGTGTCAGGAGCACAGACTGGAGCACAGGACGAAGCACATTGCTCTTCGCTACTTTCTTGCTCGAGAGCTTCAGCAGCGCGGTCAGCTTCGGCTTGTGTACGTGGACTCGAAGGCCAACACTGCTGATATCTTCACCAAGGCGCTCCCGCCTAGTGATCATCAGCGGCACTGTACTTCTTTAGGCCTTGTGTCCACGTTTCCTCACTTGCTCACTGCTTGACATTCTTTGTACTGTACTTTATATATATCTTGTTGCTTGCTTGCTAGGTTTTGATCACTGTGTTGCTTGTCTTGTACTATATCTAGCACTGCATGTGAACTGGCCTTGTGGCCTTTACTTGTGCTCGGAGTGTGGTGACGTTGTGATCCACCCTGGGCTTTGCTTTGCTTTGCTGGACTGGTCTTGTGACACTTTGCCTATGGGGGTGTGTTAAACTGTATTATGCTTGTAGGCTGTAGTGGGGTAGCCAATATGGGGTACAACCCCAACTAGGGTTTCATATTTGTACCCAAAACTTCTGCTAGTTCATTCATTCTTGCCTAGTTCTCTTGATAAAATGAAAAACATTGGGTCCCTACACACCAAATACAGTAGAGGGCCGCTAATCTAGTGCTTATGGTTCCACCGCATTGCTCACACTGCGCAGCTTTCCCATCAATCAATTTACGGAACCATTCCCATAAGCCCTCTATCCCTTGGTCTTCCGCGGTCGGTCCCTCTCTCCCTTTTCTCCTTCCGTGGAAGCCTATTATCAGCTGCTGCTGCTGCTGCTGCTTCAGCAAACTACCAATCCAATCCCACTGTGAGCAATCAAGGGAGTCTGTCCTGTGTCTTTTCATCCTCTAGGCATCGTTCCCCTTTTCGCTTGGAGTAAAAGCCTATTGTCAGCAGCAGCTGCAGATCAGACCCCCAATCTAATCCTGCTACGAGGAATCGGAGGAGCGAGAGTGAGTGTCTGTCCTCTGTCCTTCCCCTCCTACCTTCACTTCCTTTTCTCTCTCAACACTTTCCACTCTCCAGCATCTCTCCCCCTCTCCACCATTCCCCTCCTCCCTCTCTCTTACCCCTCCCCTCTGTCTCACACATCTCCTCCTTTTTCCATGGCCTGTAGCCAGCAGCAGCAGAGGGGCACCGATCTATTCCTTCTGAGAGCACCACAAAGGAGGGAGACAAATTCCCTGTCCTCCAGCAGCACGTGGGAGGGAGGCCACTCCCCCTTCCTCAAACGTTTTCCTACTCTCTTCCCTTCCTCCCCCATTGACCTCACGCCTCTCCTCCTCTTTACATGGTCTTTAACCAACAGCAAAAGGGCGCACCAGTCTATTCCCACTGGGAACACTACGAGGGAGGGGGACGAATCCTCTGTTCTCAGGCGTTTCTCTACTCCCTCCGCCCTCCACCCTCCACCCTTCCTCTACCATGTCTCCCTTGTCTCTCCTCCTCTTTTCGATGGTGTTACTTTTGAGAAAACTCAGAACTAACACCATTATAGCTTCCATGAGTCCTGTCGCCAGTGGCAACAGCAGAGGCGCACCGATCTAGTCCCACTGAGACGAGCCCTCCCTCCTCTGGCGTTCCCTTCGCCCCCCACCCTTCCTCTACCACCCCTCCTCCTCTTTCCATGAGTCCTATCGCCAATGGATCTCTATTCCTCTTTCCATGAGTCCTGTCGCCAGTGGCAACAGCAGAGGCGCACCGATCTAGTCCCACAGGGACGAGCCCTCCCTCCTCTGGCGTTCCCTTCTCCCTCCATCCTTCCATTCCTGTCTCCCTCCACCCTTCCATTCCCGTCTCTCCTCCTCTTCCCACCCATGGCCGTTTTGACAGCAGCAGCTGCAGAGCACTAATCTGGTCCCACTGGGAGAGCTTTTGAGTCGACTCAAAAGCAGCAGCTGCCCCGCACTAGTCTGGTCCCACTGGGAGAGGCGAATCTTCGCTTCCTCCTCCTGGCTTTGCTTCCTCCTCCTGGCTTTGCTTCCTCCTCCTGACTTCGCTTCCTCCTCCTGGCTTCGCTTCCTCCTCCTGGCTTTGCTTCTCTGGCATTTGTCTCCTCCTTCCTCCCTTCCTCTCCTCTCACCCTCGCACCTCCCCCTCACACCTCCCTTCTCTCTCCATAAATTCTATCGCCAACAGCTGCAGAGAGTTGGCTGTTGACTCTGCCGAGCCATAGTGCGGCGTGCTGCTTTCTGCCATTCCCCGTCCCTCCCCCTCACTCCCCTCCCCATCACGCTTCCCCCCTCTCCCCATCAGTTCTATCACCAACAGCTGCAGCGGGTTGGCAGTTGCATCTGCCCAGCCATAGTGGGATGTACCTCTCTCTATCGTTCCCCTATCCTCTCCACCCATTCCTATCCTCTCCACCATTCCCATCCCCTCCCCCTCATGCCTCTCCTCCGCTCTTCATCGCCTCTCCTCCTCTCCCCCCTTCCCCTCTGAAGCGTGCTGCCTCGCCCTTCCCTCTTCTCACTCCTCCCCTCCCCCTTATGCCTCTCCTCTCTCCATAAGCTCTATTGCCAACAGCTGCAGCGAGTTAACAGCTGCCTCTGCCCAGCCGTAGCCCTCTCTGTCATTCCCCTCCCCTCTGTATCCTCCTCACAATTCTCCTCCTCTCCCTCTCACACATCCCCCTCTCACGCCTCTCCTCTCTCTATAGGTTCGATTGCCAGCAGCTGCAACGAGTTGGCAGTTGCCTCTGCCCAGCCGTAGTGGGGCATCCCCCTGGGGGTTGAAACCGGAGGTGAAACAGGTGTAACAGGAGGTGAAACAGGAGGTGAAACACAGAAAGAGATTAGAGGCGGAGGGGAAAAGAGGATGCAAAACTCGGACGAAAATCAAAGGTGGAACACGCGGTGAGAAAGGAGGTGAGAAAGGAGGTGAGAAAGGAGGTGAGAAAGGAGGTGAGACACACAGAGGTAGAACGCAGACAGGCAATCAGTCACACGCATGCTATCCAGATGGCAATAGTACGAAACAGAAACAGGTTTACCCTGCGTTGACTCATAATACACCCGAAATTCACGCACTACATGTGAACAGAGTGCCCTCAACATGATACGTACCTATCGAACCCGACCCGACTCTGGCACACACATAATATGTCAGCTCATCCACACACCAAGTCCCACACCTCGCCATTCGTGCTCTTGCCCCGAAAGTCAAGAACTCAATCAAGTATGGTACATGCTATGCCACTAGTGACAGGAGGAGTGCACTCATAGTAGGTCGGCTCTTCCACCACCACGTCCCACACCTCACCACTCATGCTCGTGCACTGAGATTCAAGAACTGGAATGTGAAATCAAGTACGTAACATGCCACTAGCGTGCACGCACTCACTCATAGAAAGGTCGGCTCTTCCACCACCCCGTTCCACAGCTCGCCACTCGTGCTCTGGCCCCGAAAGTCAACAACAGAAATCAGGTATGGTGCATGCATCCAGTGTTTGACTGGGGACGAGTGCACTCACTCGTAATACGTCGGCTCCTCCACCACCACGTCCCACAGCTCCCCACTCGTGCTCCTCCCGTACTTGTGCACCTTGCTGGTTTGGCGTGGTGAAGATGGGACGGGAGAGGGAGGGAAGGAGGAGATGGGCAAGTGAGGTCGAGCCCTACAGCTCCCCACTCGTGCTCCTCCCGTACTTGTGCACCTTGCTGGTATGGGGAAGGGAGAGAGATTTAAGGATCCTAGAGGAGAAGGGAGGAGAAGGGAGGAGAAGGGAGGAGAAGGGAGGAGAAGTCCCACCCTTCGCCAGTTGTTGTGCACCGTGCTACCATACGATTGCAACGGGGAGAGGGATCAAGGTGAGCGGAGAGGAGAGAGATGAGACGAAACGGCGAGGGGATGGGACCAACCAAAGTCTTCAACGTCGCAAACAAGGCTCTTGAAGTCCAAAGATTTTTTAGCTGCATAATAATTCATAAGGCTCGTGAAGAAACGAGAATTAATATAAGATAAAAACATCAGGGGAGAATACTCGCCTCTAAGTGAAAAGCGCCCTCCAGAAAACTCTTACTGCCTTTTAGCGAAGTGGTACCACCTGGAAGCAAACACTTACCCATCCCCATAGTGCTCCTCTCCCCACGTTCTCGACCATCCTGGCGGGAGTGAAATGCACGAGAGCAGATGGGGATGGGGATGGGGATGGGGATGGGGATGGGGATGGGGATGGGGATGGGGATGGGGATGGGGATGGGGATGGGGATGGGGATGGGGATGGGGATGGGGATGGGGATGGAAATGGGGATGGGGATGGGGATGGGGATGGGGATGGGGATGGGGATGGGGATGGGGATGGGGATGGGGATGGGGATGGCAGGAGACTTATTAGCAGCAGGAGACTTATTCGCAGCAGGAGACTTATCAGCAGCAGGAGACTTATTAGCAGCAGGAGACTTATTTGCAGCCGGAGACTTATTTGCAGCAGGAGACTTATTTGCAGCCGGAGACTTATTAGCAGCAGGAGACTTATTTGCAGCAGGAGAGTTATTACCAGCAGGAGACTTTGCAGCAGGAGACTTATTAGCAGCAGGAAATTGATTAGCAGCAGCAGCAGCAGAGAGAGGAGTCAACATACAGGAGGGAGAGGCCAAGAGGTGCCGTGTCTCTCCTTGTCTCGACGTGTCTCTCCTTGTCTCTCCTTGTCTCTCCATATCTCTCCGTGTCTCTCCGTGTCTCTCCGTGTCTCTCCGTGTCTCTCCGTGTCTCTCCGTGTCTCTCCTTGTCTCTCCTTGTCTCTCCTTGTCTCTCCTTGTCTCTCCTTGTCTCTCCTTGTCTCTCCTTGTCTCTCCTTGTCTCTCCTTGTCTCTCCTTGTCTTTCCTTGTCTCTCCTTGTCTCTCCTTGTCTCTCCTTGTCTCTCCGTGTCTCTCCGTGTCTCTCCGTGTCTCTCCGTGTCTCTCCGTGTCTCTCCGTGTCTCTCCGTGTCTCTCCGTGTCTCTCCTTGTCTCTCCTTGTCTCTCCTTGTCTCTCCTTGTCTCTCCTTGTCTCTCCTTGTCTCTCCTTGTCTCTCCTTGTCTCTCCTTGTCTCTCCTTGCCTCCTCCAAACCACGTTGGTGAATCGCTCTTCTTACTTGTCGCCCCACTTGCTTCTCACATGCAGCATGCACAGGAAGAGAAGCAGCAGGAGACTCACCAGCAGCCCAGAGGGCAAGGAGACAGGTGCCATGTCTCTCCTTGTCTCCTGCCCACCCCATTGGTGAATCGCTCCTCCCACTTGTCGCCCCACTTGCTGCCGTGATCATCCTGCTCCGCCCACTTATGGGAAAGAGAGAGCGAACTTGTGAGAGGAATCGAGGGGACTCACGGGAGGAGGGGGGCGACAGGTGCCACGTCTCTCCTTGTCTCCTGCCCACCCCGTTTGTGAATCGCTCCTCCCACTTGTCGCCCCACTTGCTGCCGTCATCGTCCTGCTCCGCCCACTTGTCCGTCCTGCCATGCAAGCCAAGCCAAGCCACGCCATGTTCAGATAGGAAGGTTTAACCATTTGCACCTCACAACCCACTTGCTGCCATCATCGTCCTGCTCCGCCCACTTGTCCGTCCTGCCATCATGCCATGCCATGCCATGTCCATGTGGAAAAAGATGAGGTGTTTTGAGCCCCTCGCCCATCGTACCGCTCCCCCCTCTTCTCCCACCACGAATGCCCACCTTTCGTGCTGCTGCCCCCACAAAGTGACTTTTGAGTCGACTCAAAAGTCACCCCGCCTTACGAGCTGCTGCCCCCACATCCCAACGTACATGCCCCATCTCTGCCACCGCCACATGTTTCACCACTTCTCCATACAAACATGATAAACGAGCATCTTACCATTTCAGCACGGCACCTCTCCGTTGTACTGCTCCCCCCACTTCTCCCACCACGACTGCCCCTCATGCCTCTGTGCTCTTATCTCCCAACACACATTCAGCCTTCTAACATACGAGTCACTTTCACCTACCACTTGAGCACTGCTCCTCGTCCGTCGTACTGCTCGCCCCACTTCTCCCACCACGACTGCCCCTCATGCCGCCCGAACTTGTACGCCCCTTTCTCCGTCCACCCCCGCTCGTTGTACTTCTCCCACCTGCGATAAGTGAGGGGGAACAGAGGAAGGGTTTAGGGTGTAGGCCTCTTTCTCCGTCCGCCTCCGCTCATTGTATTTCTCCCACCTGCGATAAGGGAGAAGAGGAGCAATGGGGAGTGCAGTAAGAACCAGGCGATAGAGGCAGGGTTTGGGTTGGGGCTGTATCCCCCCTTTCTCCATATACCCCCGCTCGTTGTATTTCTCCCACCTGCGATAGGAGGTCGATAGAAGGGGCTTGGGAGGGGCTTAGCAGGTGGTAGAGGAAGGGGAATAATGGAGGTGACAGACGAGTTGGTTTGGGGTGTACGCCTGTTTGTCCGTCCACCCCCTCTCATTGTACTTCTCCCACCTGCGATAGGAGGGGACGGAAGGGGAAGAAATGGAAAGGGCAACGGGGAAGAGGCGATAGAGGAGGGGTTTAGGGTGTATCCCCCCCCCTTCTACGTCAACCCCCTTCTCCGTCAACCCCCTTCTCCGTCAACCCCCACCCCCGTTATACTTCTCCCACCTACTGGGTCCAGAAACACTGTCTCACATTTCCACCCTCCCTTCTCTCTTCTCCGTCCACCCGTGCCCGTCGCATTTCTCGCACTGAAGGTTGAAAGAAGAGGAATATTCAGATTAGAGTTCCCGCGTTGCAATTAGAATCCTCTGTCTCTCTCACATCCCCACTCGCCCTTGACCTTCTCGGTCCACCTCCTTTCACTGTCCTTCTCCCACCTACGGTAGTGAGGCAATGAAAGAAAGAAGAAGCTATCTTTTGAGGCGCCTCAGAAGCTATCTCACATCACTTTCCCACTTCCCTTCTCCCTACCCCCTCACAGATGAGCGACAATATTAGGTGCCTAAAAAAGCCCCTTATGATTGACATCAAGGATGAACAATTTCCCCACCAAACCCATTATGGTTCATGCACTTGATGAACATTATGGCTTATGGCTCACCATTTCTCAGTCCATGTATCAGTTCGCGACTTGGCCTGCTTGTGCGCACTGCGCTCTATGCGGGAGATTCCGCTGGGACAAGGTGGGGGGTGCAGGAGGGAGGGGAGGTAGAGAGGGGAGAGAGGCGAGTATAAGAGATGCACCCACACAGGACTTGGCCTGCTTGTGCGCACTGCACTCTCACTCACTCGCTCCCTCACTCCCTCAAACATTCTCTGCTTCACTCCCTCCCTCACGCTTTCACTCACCTCCACTCGTCCCACCTCAACACCTCCTGCCACGTCTCCCACCAGCTCGCGCCCATAGCGTTCCGCCCACTCTTCTCCGCTCCTGAAGGGGAGGGTGGGCGGGGCAGACGAGGAGGAGAAGGGGGGAGGGAAGAGGGAGGGAAGATGTAGGCAAAGGGGAGGGACGGGGAGGAAAGGGGTAGAAATTTTGAGACGTCTCAAAACCAATTTTATTTCACACGAATGCAAATGCGTCTGAAATCCTGGTGTGGTTGCAAAGTTAGGAAGTCAATGGCTCTTATTGAATGCCTCCTCTCTCTCTCGCCCCCCCTCTCTCGCCTCTTCTCTCACACCTTGTCTCTCTTGCCTTTTGCTGCGTTGTCATGGACATGCTGTGATGGATATGCGTACCTAGTTCCTTGTATCCTGTCCAATCGCTCTTCTCCCACCACTGCCATGACGCCATGCCATGCCAAAACCACGCAACATCGCATCACAGAAACATGAAGGGAAGGGAGAAAAGAACGAGGGAAGGGAAAGGTGAAGGAAAACGGGGAGATTAAGGAATCGAGAAAAAGAAGGGATGGAGGATGAAGCCAAGCCAAGCCAAGCCAAGCAAAAGCTCAAGGTATTCAGTCACAGATGGGCTGCCTCTAGAGGCGTCTCGAATCACTCACAGGTCCCTTTCTCTGATGTACTTTCAACCACTGTGACTTTTGAGACGTCTCAAAACTCCCAGATCCCTTTCTTTGATGTACTGTCATTTCAACCACTGTCATGACACATGGGTTGCATGTAAATGGTGGCCCCCAATGAAGCTGTAGCTGCCCTTGCTACGTGAATTTTACTTTTGAGAATTCTCAAAAGTAAAATTCACGTTGGTGGCCTCCAATGAAGCCGTAGGTGGCCTTGGATTCATTTGCCCTCATGGCCTCCCTCTTCTTCTCTTTCCACCCCATCCCTACATCCCCGTTCCTCGGCCCCATCCCCACGCCCGTCCCCCTTACCCCAACCTCCCCACTCTACCTCAACCCACCCCCCCCACTCACCGTTTCCTTCCATTGCACGGAATTATCCGAGCTCCATTGCCCTTGCAGCGGTACCCGTTTCCCCCACATGCTCCCCGCTAATATCTCCCCGTCCCACGCCGTCCCTACACCCCAACCCCCCCCTATCCCCCAGTTCCCAACCCCTCACAACTCACTGTTTCCTTCCAATGCACGGACCCGTCTGAACTCCTTCCCCCCATGATGCTCCTCCTGCACCGGTAACCATTCTCGCCCACGTCCTCCCTTTCTCTCCCTCTCCTATCCCCAGCTCTACCTCACCTCCCCACCCCTCCCTTCCCACTCACCGTTTCCTTCCATTGCACAGATCCATCCGAGCTCCTCCCGCCCATGATGCTCCACCGGCACCGGTACCCATTCTCCCCCATGTCCCTCCTCTGATCTCCCCCGTCTCTCCTCCCGTCTTACCCGCCCCCCCACGCTCCCACTCACCGTTTCCTTCCATTGCACGGATCCATCCGAGCTCCTCCCTCCCATGATGCTCCACCGGCAGCGGTATCCATTCTCCCCCACGTCCTCCCCGCTCTCTCGATACCACGAGCTGCCGTCCTCGTTAAGGCCTGATTCGTTAAGAGGCGCGTTGTGCAGGCTGATGTTCCACTCCTCCTCGCTCGCTATGCCCGTGTCTGGAAAGGAAGGAGAGGGGCGAGGGGAGGGAAGAGCGCGCTTTTGAGTTGACAGATAGGTCACCTTGTTCCACTCCTCACTCGCTATGCCCGTGTTTGCGAAGGAGAGGGGACGGGGAGGGGAAATAGGGCCGAGGGGAGGGAAGGGCATGAGGATGAAGGGGCAGCTTGAGCGAGAGGATAGACTTCTGGATGATGGGGGGATTTGGTGCCTCCACAACATTTGGGAACACTGGAACGACTTTTGAGGCGCCTCAAAAGAGGATAGACTTATGGATGATGGGGGGATTGGGTGCCTCTACAACATTTGGGAACACTGGACTCGAGTATTGTGTTCATAACATAGCCGTTTGTTTGATCAACGAGAATGGAATGACGACCACGTTCACCAGACAAAGACAATGCCAGGGACACAGTTCATATGTTGGTCCATTCATTCATACCCTTTACTCTTGCTCTCATACTGACGTGGCAACGCCATGTAATGCCACGTCAGCTAGTAACTTTGCCGCATTGCTCACAATGCACACCCACCTCTGCGCGGTGGACTGTCTCTTGAGCTGGTTCCTGAGTAGACTAGACATACAGCTATCTTTCTGTTCCTTTGGTCTTCACTTCAGCGGCGCATCAATCACTTTGAACACTCACTCACCTCTGCGCGGCGGGCTGTCTCTTGAGTTGGGAATGCACTGGCGAGAAACGCGGTTGGAAGCCTGACGCTGACGTGGCCTTGCACGCCACGGCCGCTGAGACCTGAGATCAAGTCCACGTGGCACGCACGTCAGAACATCAGGGATCACAACAGAAGCTCCGTGCATTGTTATTGCAGGGAATCTGGAAAGAATATATGAACTGCTGAAAGTTGATCAGGGATCAAACAATTCAGAATTAGCTCTCTCTCTCTCTCTCTCTCTCTCTCGCTCATCTCTCTCTCTCTCTCTCTCTCTCTCTCTCTCTCTCTCTCTCTCTCTCTCTCTCTCTCTCTCTCTCTCTCTCTCTCTCTCTCTCTCTCTCTCTCTCTCTCTCTCTCTCTCTCTCTCTCTCTCTCTCTCTCTCTCTCTCTCTCTCTCTCTCTCTCTCTCTCTCTCTCTCTCTCTCTCTCTCTCTCTCTCTCTCTCTCTCTCTCTCTCTCTCTCTCTCTCTCTCTCTCTCTCTCTCTCTCTCTCTCTCTCTCTCTCTCTCTCTCTCTCCCTCTCTCTCTCCTGCTGAAGATGAATCTGCAGCGAGAATCTGCGCGAGAATCACGACCAATGCCTCGATTTGATTCTGTTTCTCCTGCTTCTGCAAGTACTAGCGACTCCGTGCCGTCCGAATCACCGCGCGACTTTTTTAATAGAAGACAATCCGCACAGTCTCTTAATAGCCAATCAGCAGCAGCCAGCTGTAGACTGGATGAGTTGCGAACGTTGTTACTGTTAGCGATTGCGTGAGAATTTGCAAAATGATGGCGGTTTAGAGAGCTGATAGCTGCTCTACCAGTAGCAGACTGATAGGCGATCCGACGTGGAATTGCCACGTGGAATGCAGAGGTTCGCCGCACTGCGTTTCTTGCCGGTTCGGGGATGCAAGAACCAGGTTTGAGCCGAGATGGCTCGGTGACATAGCCCGAAGCTAAAGCTGTGGCTCGGATGGACGTCATAGTCGTTGACGAACGTTCCAGCGAGCCTAATTGCAGCGATCGAGCTAGCCGTCCCGTCAGGACTCAGAACCGCCTACTCAGAATCGCTCTGGTCCAGGAGCTGGTAAAATATATTACTGTGAATTCTAGTAGCTCCTAGTTCTTAAACGGTTCTAGTAGTTAGCATTCATAGCTTCAAGGAGGAGCTACGCAGCACTACACGTCGGTCCTTGCGGGCTCTGCAGTGCGCGACACGTCACCGTGACGTGTCGTGACTGTGTAGGCACAATGACTGACGAGATCGAGCCGAGAGAAGGGAGAGCACAGCATCGCATGAGTGACGCTCGACCGCAATCAGGATCAGGCTGACCAGCAAGGCAAGGAGGATCAGCCATGATGAAAGAAGAAAATCACCTGCGTCTAATCCGAATCTTCTATCAGCAAACTTTTTCGAACTAGATGTTTTTGAGACAAGTTGACGCGTCTACACGCCATGTCCATTGATCGGGCAAGAACGGAGGGTGCTGCTGCAGCCAGCATCTATGAAAGAACACGAAGCTAAAGCTCTCTGCTTCTCTGGTCAGAAAGAAATAGTGAATGCTGACCAGACAATTATTGTCAGGCATTTTACCTTGTCATCTGGGCGCAAGTGCAGTGCATACAGTGTATGTACAGTGCTGTGCTGACATGATCCTAAGAGGCTCGTTCGTTGATTCTGGGAGGAGACTAGGACGAAGGATCCTAGCGCTTGGATAGGGATGATCAGGCGACTCGGCGTCATCATCGTCGCATCAGCTGGTCAGGGCCATGGATTTTGGTGCGGCTGGCTGCGACGCAAAGCCGGCGAAAAGGAATCCATCTGCCACGTCTCCGTGCCTTTTGATCCGCTAGAAATTGCTTCGGCACGGTAAGGCTGACGTGGTGCTGACACACCATTATCCACTCGGCCTGGAAAATACGCTCTCCTCCATCCACTCACAACAAGGAGAGGCAATGCTCGGCACAATCAAGGTTGCGTCGCCTCCAAGGCGAGCCGCTTGTTTCAATAGATTTGTGTGGGCGTGTGCGCGGGATGCCCTGCGACATCATCTAGATTTCCACCCCTCCGGAGCCACGAAGTGAGGAGGCATTTTGAACGGTCACCTAGCACCAAAGCTTGATGGAGAATGGGACCACTGACGTGGCAATTGTGGCGAAAGTGCAACGGGAAAACTTTCCACCGCGTGGGGACCAATCGTTGTTGGGCCAAAAACCTCCCACCAATGACCCGGGAACGGTAACCTGGCAAAGAGACTTGTTCTGGTGGACGAGGCTGGAGAGTGTCATTTCATCGTCATGTTCGATCACTAGCTACACATCAGACGATTCCAGGCTGGCAGATTATATGTAACACGACATGTGAAGTGATTACCTGTACCAGTTTATACAAAAAGTGTGATCGGACCAAGAAACCCATAACTTTCATACTAGGAAATACAGCATGCGCAGTCATGCCTGAAAAGCACCTACAGTACCAGTATGAAAGCAAAACACATTCTATGCACATTGACTGCTCTCCTAAATCCCACTAGTAGCGCAGTCCATGAATAAACAAGACACAACCAATGTCAAATCAGAATGCACTAAGCGACACAATAAAAGCCAGCACAAGGCAATACATGAGCGTGAAAGCCACCGGGCCATGAGGACTGTGAGCAGCAGCATTCCATTGAGGGCGCTCTGCAACCACCAATTCCAAAATACACAAAAACGATCAAGGAATAGTGTAAATGCAGAGAAGGGTTGAGTAAGGGATGAGAGAATCCAGAGTGGGAAGCGAAACAGCAAGAGTGCATACAGGGAAGCGGAACAGAACGCACCAGCTCATGACCATGCCAAGTTCCACCAGCACACAGCAAGTCAAGCAAAGATTCAGGATCGCAGCAGCACAGACTTACGGAGTTTCGGACTCAGGTCTTCTCCCGAACCAATCACCGTCACGTTCGTGTCAGGAGAAAACACCACCAGCTTATCATGATCCGGCGCCGTCCACGGCTGCTCCCCATTGGCCGGCCCGAACCCGGGGTGCATAATCGGCTGCAGGAACGACAGCTTCGGCTGCTCCATCTTTTTCCAGGTCTTAGCTAAAAGCCCGCCCACTTGCTTGTTCGTCGGCCCCCACGTGAGCCACACCCACCCCGCACTCCTCGACCGAATATACCGCTGAAACTTCTCCAAATACTGCATCTCCTGGAAATCCGTGGACGTGTTTTCGACCGAGGGGAACCTGCTGCCCCACTGTGTGACTATAAGGGGGGTGAAGTTCTTCTGGGGGATGAACCCAAACGCAGTGTCCCAGTATCCCTCGAGGTTCTCAGGGAAGTTGGGGTCCTTGAACCAGGGCTTCTTGGGGTCGACAAAGGGACCAAAGTCGTTCACTGCATACACCAGCTTGTATTGCACCTGCAAGGGGGGGAGGGAGACAGGGAGGGTTACAGACAGGACGAGAGAGGAGGGGGATGAACCCAAATGCTGCGTCCCAGTAAGCCTCGAGGTTCTCTGGGTAGTTGGGGTCCTTGAACCTAAGACGTTGACTGGATCGGCGAGCTTGTGCCATGGCCGTGCCTGGTCCCAGCCACTCCCAACCAAACCCAACCAAACCCAACCTTACCAGGCACGGCCAGAGTCACATAGACTTCACGGTATCACACTCACCTTGAGCTTCAGCGGGTGCGCCACCACGCCCCTCTGGTCCACCCCTCGCCACGTGTATTGCGTGCCCAGCCTTTGCACGATGATCAGCAGATCAGGCCCTGGGGGGCTGAGACGCACCTCTTACAACCACTCCCAACCGAACCAAACCTTTGTACTCACATATCCCTCACTCTCTCACCTTGAGCTTAAGCGGGTGTGCCATCACGCCCCTCTGGTCCGCCCCCCGCCACGTGTACTGCGTGCCCAACCCTTGCACGATGATCAGCAGGTCGGGATTGACCGTCTGAATGGCATCCGCGGCCCTGCAGGGACACGGAGGGGAGAGAGGAGGAATACGGGCAGGAGTGGACGTGGAGGGAAGGGAGGGAAGGTATAAGAGCCCAGCCCTTGCACGATGATCAGCAGCTCGGGAATGACCATCTGAATGGCATCCGCGGCCCTGAAAGGCAAGGACACAGAGGGGAGAGCATGCAGCAGGGAAGGAGAGAGGGAGGTAAGGTAAGAGGAGGGCTCTCAGACGTCTCAGGACTAACATCCCATCGTCCAGCCCTTGCACGATGATCAGCAGGTCGGGATTGAGCCCGTCTGAATCGCGTCCGCAGACCAGATCAGGCACAGAAGAGAGAAGACAACGATGGGAAGATATAAGGTAAGAGCAGACGTTGTCCCCCACCTACCACTCATCCCTGCACCACCATCACCAGGTCGATCCTATAGGATGTACACTCCCCTCTCCCTCCCCCCACACCAACACACCTCTTTGCAGCAGTACGCCAGTTGTAAGGCTCTCCCACATTGTCCCCCGCCCAAATGATGTCAGGGTGTGACGGGTGGTTGTGAATCTCATTGTACAGATCGACCTGGTAGGAAGGAGCGCGGGTATAGGAGGTGGGAGGAGAATGACAAGTGGTGAGCAGGAAACAGCAACAGCACTCCCCCACGTTGTCCCCCGCCCGTATGATATCCGGGTGCGACGGGTGGTTGTGAATCTCGTTGTATAGGTCCACCTGATGAGGGGGGGCGAGGTTTTTAAGAGGCGATGGAGGAGGGGGTGAGAGTGAGCGAGAGAGGTGGGAAGGAAGGAGGGAGGGAGGGAGAGAGGGAAGGAAAAAGAGAGGACGGACAGGGACCCACACCCACCCCACGCACGCACAACGTAATCATCATGCACTCACCCCAACAACCGCCCTCTCTCCAATGTATCGCTGTGCCAGCTTGAGCCAGTTGCCGACCCACACAGCCTCTGAGTGCCCCGCGTCCCACCACACGCCCAGCCATGCCCCTAGCCCAGACTCACCCCACCACAACCACTCACCCCAACCACCGCCCTCTCTCCAATGTATCGCTGAGGCAGCTTGAGCCAGTTGCCGATCCACACGGCCTCAGTGGCAACCCACACTCCACACAGCACTAGCCAAGTCAACAAAGGCTCCCCACGTCCCAGCCAAGACTCACCCCAACCACGGTCCTCTCCCCAATGTATCGCTGAGCAAGCTTCAACCAGTTGCCGATCCACACGGCCTCAGAGTGGCCTGCGTCCCACCACACGCCCAGGTCGTCCTCGAAGAGGGGCGGCAGGAGGGAGCAGGGAGGAGAACGAGGGGCGCGGGAGCAGGAGGGGGAGATAGCAACAGGGACTCACCCCAACCACGGTCCTCTCCCCAATGTATCGCTGAGCAAGCTTCAACCAGTTGCCGATCCACACGGCCTCAGAGTGGCCCGCGTCCCACCACACGCCCAGGTCGTCCTCGAAGAGGGGCGGCAGGAGGGAGCAGGGAGGAGAACGAGGGGCGCGGGAGCAGGAGGGGGAGATAGCAACAGGGACTCACCCCAACCACGGTCCTCTCCCCAATGTATCGCTGAGCAAGCTTCAACCAGTTGCCGATCCACACGGCCTCAGAGTGCCCCGCGTCCCACCACACGCCCAGGTCGTCCTCGAAGAGGGGCGGCAGGAGGGAGCAGGGAGGAGAACGAGGGGCGCGGGAGCAGGAGGGGGAGATAGCAACAGGGACTCACCCCAACCACGGTCCTCTCCCCAATGTATCGCTGAGCAAGCTTCAACCAGTTGCCGATCCACACGGCCTCAGAGTGCCCCGCGTCCCACCACACGCCCAGGTCATCTTCGTAGAGAGGCGGCAGGGCGGGGCCGATGCGCGTGTTGGCGAGAATGACCCTCAGCCCACGGTCGCGGCATGCTTTTACTATAGCATCTATTGCTTGAATCACAGTCAGGTTCTGCAGGGACAGGCGGAAGAGGGGACGGAAGGGAGGAGGGAGAAAAACAAGGGCTAAAAGGTCAACAGGGTGAACGAGTCAACGGGTCAGCAAGGCAGCGACCACCACACGCCCAGGTCATCTTCGTAGAGGGGCGGCAGGGCGGGGCCGATGCGCGTGTTGGCGAGAATGACCCTCAGCCCACGGTCGCGACACGCTTTTACTATCGCGTCAATGGCTTGAATCACAGTCAGGCTCTGCAGGGAGAGAGAGAGGAGCGGAGGGAGGGAGGAGTGCGGGAAGAGGAGGAGGGAAGGGAAAAGGGAGGAATGGTAAAGCTATCCTCAGCCCAACAGGTCAGAAAGGCAAAAACCACCGCACTCCACCACACGGCCCAGGTTGTCCTCCCATGCCGGCGCCCTCTCGTCGTACATGAGGCACTTCGTGAAGAATAGAAGGGCAGGCAGGCGCACACCACCACGTTGAATCCCGCCAAATGGAACCTCAATCACACTGAACCCCTTCCAAGCACCCTTCAACGCCAACCAGACTCACCTTGAGGTCCGGATTCGGGTCAAAGTCAATAGCTTCCCATACAGGCGTCCTCTCGTCGTACATGAGGCACTCCGTGGAGAATAGAAAGGCAGGCAGGCGCACACCACCACGTTGAACCCCATCCATGCCCCGTACCGTGTGTGGGAAAAGGTTTAGAGAAGGCCCACCTTCAGATCCGGATTCAGGTCGAAATTAATTGCCTCCCGCGCTGGCGTGCGCTCGTCGTACATGAGGCACTCCGTGGAGAAGGGCAGGCGCACCACGTTGAACCCCGCGCCCTGGATCTTATCCAGGTGGTCCGAATAGGACAAGCCGCTGCCGCCCGCTATGCCGTCCACCACGCAGTTCTCCGTGTCAAAGCCATTCCACGTCACTCCAGAGAATTTAATCTGTAGGGGGACGGGAGGAAAAGGACGGGAGAGGGGGGAAAGGACAGAAGGGGGAGAGAGGGAAACGGACGGAAGGGGGGGTGGGGAGGAGGAAGCTTTTTGTTGATGGACCTTAACTTGTTAGGGGGGAATTAGTGAAACCTTTCTACTGACATGCCTTATGCGCGTTGCTAGCACTCACCACGCACCCTACCTCGTTATACACAGCGAACCAGTACTTGCATGCCCATACCCCTAATAAGCATATCTCCAGTACCCGTTTTAATCACATGCACGCACTCACCACGCGCTCCTCCTCGTCCAGCAACTGCTTATCCACGGCGAACCAGTACCCGTACCCCAGCTCCCGCAGCACACCATGTGTTGGATGCCCCATACCCCTTATAAGCACAGATCCGGTACCATATACAATCACATGCGCTCACCACGCACTCACCACGCGCCCCTCCTCGTCCAGCAGCTGGTTACCCACGGCGAACCCATACCCATGCTGGAATCCACCCGTACCCCAGCTCCCGCAGCACACCATGCTGTTGCATTGCATGCCCCGTACCCCTTATAAGCACATCTCCCGTTATAATCACACACAAGCACTCACCACGCGCCCTTCCTCGTCCAGCAGCTGGTTATCAACGGCGAACCAGTACCCATACCCCAGCTCCCGCAGCACGCGCCGCCGCGGGGATTCAGCGGACCCCTCCCCAACAACAGCACCGCTACCCGCGCTAACACCAGCACTCTCAGCGTTAGCAGCGCTGTCAGAGCTGTCAGTGCTATCGGCGGCGGCCATCCTTAAATACCCTCGCCCTTTCTCCGCCTCCGCCTCCTCCTCCTGTTTCTGTTCCTGTTGCGGTTGCTGCCCTTCCGCTTCCTCCTCCTCCCCCTGCTGCTGCTCGTCAACCATCACTGCCACGTCATCTACCGTGACGTCAGCAGGCTGGACGCTCTGCTCGGCCACGTCTTCCAGCACGGCGTCCACGACTTCCACGTCAGAGACGTTCTCATCCACGTCAGCATCGAGGAGTTCCACCTCAGCAAGCTTTCGGGAGTGGTCTGCGTTGGCAGCAACATCCTGCAGTAGCACACGTGGATGAAGGGCAGTGGAGGAGGGCATTTTAAATAAATGTAAAAAAATGTGGAGGAAGGGACGAGTACGGACCGGACACAAGAATGACTTTCGGACTCAAAAAAGTGCAGAGATTAGGCGGAACGCGGGTGCGGAACGAGAAGGGCGACGTAAGAAGGGTGAGAGGAGAATCGTCGAAGGAAACGTGAGATACGGAGACGGTGAGAGAAGGTAAGAGAATGCGGAGGAGCGAGAATCGGAGAGAAGACGAGAGATGGCGAAAGAAGGCGAGAGAATGCGAGAGAATGCGGAGGAGAGAGAATGCTACCATATCACCAGCATCGTCCACCAGGGTCGTCACGCCGCCAAGGTCTGTCCCTGAAACAACCAGACAGCGAACAGAGCAGAAAAGGGAACCAAAAATTGAGTTTTGAGACGTCTCAAATCACGCCGTCAAGATCTGTCCCTGAAACAATCGGACGGCAAACAAAGCAGAAATTGGAACCCGAAATTGTGAAGGAGTGGTGACTGCGGAAAGCGCGCCAGAAAACGGAACAAGAAAACGAGGGGTTCGGACATCAACGGTCGTGACGGGATCGTACGACAAGAGACGCGGTGAGGCGTCAGCGAATTTGCGAGTATCTAGGGTGAGGCGAGTCGAAACCTACTCCTAGTCGGCCGTCAAATGATGTCAAACAGGAACGAAGTCGCTAGTGCGAACGATGATACAAGAAGGTCGATCATATCAGAAGGTTGGTCATATCAGATGGTCGATCATATCAGAAGGTCGATTATGCGAGAAGGTAGTTTTTACAAGTTCGTCGAATGTTTTTGGACAGGAGTGAATGATAATCCCAAGAAGAATTAAGCTCGAAATATTTTCACTAGGAAAATATATCAACACGGATAATCAATCTGTCTCAACTGACCTCCACCAAATACGGCGACTACGGGGATCATGGACATGAAATGGTATATCACACGTCACGGCCTTCTGAAAGCGTTCACCCGCAATCAGGGTGAACGTATTCGTGCGTGTATTACGCACGGGACACCTATCGACGAGAATTTTGTCGACGTCTAGAAACACTCGCCTTCTTTCTAGAAAAAGCATCTAACCCCACCGAAACAGAACACTGTTCCGAAATCGCGAACGTCTTATTCACGCATCTAGTACAAGCGACGCCGTCAATTGATTCGGCTCATCTGTTTCTTTCCAAAAAGGCATGCTGAACAAAAAGAAGTGCAACCTACTAGAGAGAAGAAACTGTGCATGTACCGTCGAGCGTCAAGTTGACTTACACAGCCTACTGGAACATCGCTCATTTCCAACTAGCAAATCGAACCCTACTCGAGAAGTGATACTGAATTTGAATAGTCATATCCATCTGGGACTGACTTTATCGGACGTGAAGAAGCAGAACGGCCAGCCGCAATCGCGCGTCGAGTGCCGTTGTAACGAGGTGAATTTTGAGTCGACTCAAAAGTAACCTCGTTCCGACGTGAACAGGTCGCAGGGCCAGACGTAGTCGTGCGTATTGAACAAAGTCGAATCAATCCACAACCTACTCTCGTCGCAAAGCACGATAGTATACCCGTCGTTTCTCTTCTGTCAGACGTACTTAAGAATGATACCGAAATTTTCATAAGCATACCCGGTCGGAACATCTCTCTGACTTCCCCGGCCGTGAGAGGGACGCAGCGCGCCCACACGCCATCGCCACGGTGGCATCCTGTGACGTCATCCGGGTCCACGGGCTCGTCGGCCACCAGAAGCTCCCGCGAAGCTGCGTCTGCTGCGCGGAACGAGGAGCTGAGGAGAGCAGCTGAGAGCAACAGCGCGGCGAGAGCTAGGAGCCGTCCACGGATGGATGGATGCTGGGTCCGACGCGACATAACTACTACGCACTGCCAATAACAGCGTAGTGGATCACGATTCTTAGCGAGGATGCAGGTCTTCCGTTTCCTGCAATAGCGTCCTTCCACTGGATTGGAACTTCGATTGGAACGCCCTGCTCTGAATGTCGTTCACGATAACCCTTTTTCCCCTCTCTACTCCCTTATCTCCTCTCTCTTATCACCTTCCACTCCGCAAGTGCCGGGAATTCGTAAGACCAGCAATAGCGTCAGTCAACTCTCTCTATCACACCGCCATCGTGCTCTTTAGGGTTTCCTTCCTTTCTCCACCACACTGGGTCCCTCCCTCCTCCCTCGCTCTGGTCTGGGCTGCTCATGGCAGCCTTGGGCACCTTTGTGACAATATCGAGCCACCTGAAAGTTGCGAAGGTGGGAATCTCTGCCGGGAAATGATCAGATTGGGGCCCCGAAGCTCTAGAAAGAGTGCCAACTTGGGGCCTCGTGTTTCGCGAAGTGTCGAACCTGGTCCGGACCTGTCTCTAACCAATTTCGGGCCTCACTAACGCGCTCCGTCAGACCTGACCACACGAGGTGACGGATTTCTGAACGGACAAGCTGGCAAAAAATATAAACCCCATACGGCCATGCATTCGGTCAGGGAGGCATCAACCCTAAACACCTTGTCGCATGTGTTTAGGGTTGATGCCTCACTAATTTTATGCCTTTCGATTCGGTTTTATATTTTTTTCACACTGCGATAATGTTAAAAGTTTGGGTTATTTCGCTGAAGTATCTGTACTGCCCATTGTGAATGGGCTGACGAGGGCTCCTCCCGTCAACCAGGGTGCTAGCGAAATCCGTCAAACCCAAGCCAGCAGGTGGTGACCTGGCGAGCTCGGCCTAGCTGCCTAGGCTTGTAGGTTGCTTCGGGCCTTCTTCGTAGGGTCGCGAATCACGAGGCCCCAAGTTGGCAATCTTTCTGCTAATCCGAGGCCCCAGTATGATCATTCCCCATCTCTGCCCCCCACAAGGTTCACAACCGCACGCTTGGCAACATCCGCGTGACAAGATTCTCCCGCCGAAGCTGAGCAGGCCCAGGCGACAGAACTGAAGCTGACTGGTTCGGCAACAAGAGGAGCCCTCCTCTGCGTGAACTGGCTGTTTGGTTTGGGTCGCGTCGGCCTTGACACGAATCCGTTCTGCTGAGCGGGTCACCGACATGGGATTCTGTGCAGTACAAATCTCGGGCTGTGCCCCGCTGTGCCAAGGGTGGGCAGGTATGGCAGCGGCAAAATCTTTTGGACAGTGCTGGCGGGGACTGGTGACAAATTTTCATGTGACTGGCACCAGCATCGCGGTTGCGAGTTCATAGCCTCGAAAAATACCTCGTTACTGAGTAATAATAGGTCATATAAAAGAGAAGGGCACATATCTCCCTCACATCAGTTTCTATAATGGGGGAATACTGGATGTTCATTTCCATCAGTTACGCCCCTCAATGGCGTGGTGCAAGCATGACGTTTTCAATCGAGAAGATCTAAAGAACTTTCTCAAACTACATTTTGCAAAATTGAAACATGTAGGTGTAGCATATGGGTCTAGGATGACATGCTTTGCTGAGCGCGCCTCCAGACCAGCCTCTGCTGAACCGCCCAAGACATGAGAGCCTGGCTCCTAACGCTATCCCCGCTTCTAGCAGCTTCACCCGCACCTGCAACCTGAACTCTTGTTGCACAACTGTTCGTATAGCTCGAACTCGGTAACGATGTTATTTGGCTCATAGTTGTGGTGCGACTTCCACACCCTGTCGTTTGACAAGGTAGCGAAGATAGAACAGTTTGCGTGGCGACGTTCGGTCGGCGCTGGTTAATCACTGGTGTAGGGGAATTGGCGATAGGTCGCGCTGCTGCCGGCACCGTTGCTGCAGGCGACGAAGTCAAGCCGTCGCCATACATACTGACGACGCATCCGGCGCCACAGAACGTCGCGCCATGCGCTGGGGTTTCCCCTCGGCAAAGTATCCTCGACATTGCTTGCGGCCAAAGCACAGCCGTCTCGTCCGTCCCGATCATATGCGCGCTGCTGCTTCGACGATGAAGCGGCGACGACAAACTCGCGTTCCGAGCAGACGCCATTTTCAAAGTTGATAGGAGTGGGGGAGTGATTTCCATCCGCGCAGCTTCATTAGTAGAACTAGCCTTTACGAGAGTCGTTCCTTCTTTCGCAACTTTCGCGGGTATGCCAACGCCGGCGACGGTGTCAGTAAGCGCGCGTCCAATATTCGCCGATTCAATACCCTTTGACCCAGTAACTGAAGCTTGTTTCGCAGTCGCGGCCGTGGAATGATCTGTTAGTACCGGGATGCCATCAAAGAATGATGGCGAGAGCCTGGCTGTGAGCGGCACCGACCTTCCAACGTCCGAATGAGACGTGTAATCTCCATGAACGGCGGTGTTAAAGGTGGAAGGCAAACTAGCTGACCTTCGAAGCGACTGATCCTCGCGGCGCGCAGTTCCGGTATGGTTGTTCCAGGGGCTCGCCTCGCGCGCATTCTGATGGGGACTGGGATTCGGAGTGAAACGGAAGGCGCGGTCCCACGACTGCAGCTCCCGACGCGGCCTGCTGCTCGGCCTGCTATTAGCCGGTGAAGCGAATCGTTGGATAGTAGCGCTTTGTCCGCTGGCAGCGCCGTGATGAGCGGCGAGATTAGGGCAATCTTTGGGAGACAACCCATAGAACGATGTTTTGGCGGTTCGCTCTTCACCTGATGGCCTGATTTGTGACCGGGTGAGGTACGGAATGAGCCGGTTTCGTCGCTCCGCGAGTGAAAGGCCCTGAAGTTCCGACGAGGGTGGTAGCTTCGGTTTCTGCTGAGAGGTTTCTTTCGCCATGGGGAAAAAGAGATTCGAAGATAACAATAATCAACGTCGCACGACTCCTAGGATGATGCTACCTTGGTAATGCTTGGTTGGAATTACAACTTCGAATGGCGTATTCTCGACGGGCCGAGTTTTGAAGTTATATGCCTGGTGCCGTGAGACTGGGAAAGGCGCTTCGGAGCGGAGCAACAGTAGCACCGTTGAGTCGAAGTCGTTTAGCAGATGCGGGCTGGTTGACGGGAACAATCGAAGAGATATGCTGTGCTATCTGGTGCAGATCTATCTGCTGGTATTTGTCGCTGGTTTTGTACGTTTCAGTACGGTATAATTGCAGATTCACCACCTCTTGCGGACGGGATAGGGTGGAGATCCAAGGTTTCATCTTCAGGCCGCAGGGACATCGAATCACATTTGGGATTCTGAACTTTTGTGATTCACGCGTACGCGTACCAGCAGACACGGCAACCATCTTCACATCACGGCCCAACGACGGGTTTCGTCCGTCAAAACGAACGAGTGGTGTACGTACGTACCGTGGATGCGCTTTACAGTTGGACATGAAAGGGCTTCGCCATCCACCTGGCAACAAGGACACCTCAGATGTACACCTTTCCTTCGCCAATTTCAAAACCTGGGACCCCCGAGCCCGCGTCCTTGTCGTTTTTCTCTGGGGTTGAAATTGGTAGGAACGAAAAATGCTCCCTCCAATTTCAACGCTCTGACGGAAATTTCAGTGGTTCCTACTTGTTCTGAAGGGTGGTAAAGCGGTTATAACGGGTATTGTTTATTGGAGTGACGCAGCTTGGCCCGATCCGCGCACAGGTGGCGACAAAGGGGCTAAAATTGGCAGGGGTTGCATTTGGCGAGGGACAGGTGTAGTCCAGGCTGGAGAAATGGACATGCTGTACACATGTCAGCTGTTCTGGAACGGCTGGGGTGACCACCTAGCCGTGGACGGTTCAGAACAGGAAGTCCAACCGTACCGATGGGTGGGGCAAGCTGTTGTCATGCGGTTTGTTGTTGTCCACAGAAATATCTTCTTGCAGTGTGTTCCGCTGGCAGCAAAGGGAGGGCCGAATCGTGTCGTTATCACCCCTCCTCACCCAACGGTGCTCGTAA